CAATTTCAAACTTTGTTTTTCTATCTCCTCTGGAGAAGTCTGTTCTGGAGTTCACTCAGATCTGATTTTTAAAGTTCTTTAATAGTTAGTTGGGAGCTCTTACAATTAAAGCCTATTTTGCCCTTCAAAGCCACCTCACAATTGCTCCAATTAGATTCCATCCTTTTTCTACTTCCTATAACAGACTTTGACTTGTCTTGGAATGTGCTTAGTCCTTTGGATCTCTTTAAGGCCCATTAAGACAAAACAGATAATTGAACAGCTAAAGGTGTACCTTCCAAAATTTTTGCTTCAAAGTTAGAAATATTGGTTCGAACTATTTTTAGAAAAACTAAACTATGGGATTGGTTCAAACCAATTGGAATTGATTTGAACCAAGAACTCTAGATAAGGAGGACATGATTTAATTCTAATCATGGGAAAAGATTAGAATTCTTAAATTAGCTTTCCTGCACACTTGGTACAAAAGTAGATTAAACTTTTTAAATAATGGTTTTAAATCATCATCAAGATACAAAGAGAACCTAACAAACAATAATATGATGATACAAACTTTCTGATAAGCAGAGATCCATTGATAGTAACAGAGTGCAATTTTGAAATTTTACAATATCGACTTTATAAATTAAACCTTAAATAGGAAAAATTCTAGATCAAGTTTTTTTTAGTCTTAATATTTGAAATAAATGAAACTATGTTATATTGAATTTACAAATTTATCCTCAAATAAGAGAAACTAAGGACAAGGGCATTTTTTTTTTTTTTAAACAATTCCTATTGGTTATGGATTTCACTCTTCTTAGAATATGTAGCGATGGGCAAAATGACAATTTGTCCTACAAGAGTCAATCTTAATCAGTAAAAAGGTTGAATGGTACTTTGGAAGGCCGGTAAAAAGAAGCTTTAATTATTAAAGAAAAAGGTTAAAAGAGGACATCAAAATTGACCTAAAAATAAAATGGTCTCCCTTGGAGAATCAATGCCTATCCAACAACTATTACATTGCCTTGAAAAAGTTTTTGGGATTGCAATGTGGGATATAGTGCTTGCCCGAAGGATTCAATATATGCTAATAATTCAAAGGAAATTATTTTTTAAAAAAGAGTTTTTAAAAAATAATTATTTTTTTTATAACTCAACATAAGATGTATTTTGTATTTAAAAAAAAAACTGTAGAGAAAATCTAAACGGCGCGGCTAAATGTAAGCCGAGTGAGGAGTGGTAATAGTATCAGTCGCCCTCCGCGTGGTCCCACTTACAGGCTGTCGGAAACCGGAAGTGTCACTGCAAAGTTCCACCTCTGACCTCCCAAAAGCCCCAAATGTAACCCTCTCCATCTCCAATCCATCTCTCTTCTTGTTGTTGCATTGCCTTCCAAGCCTTACCTCCTCCGCTTTTCTTCCTCCTACGCAACCAGCCCACTTCTCCTCTTCCAGGTGGCGCTCTTTCATTGGATATTATTACCCCAATTCTGTTTGTTTTGTCGTTCGTCAAAGGATCCCAATGAAAGGTCTGATAAAAAAAAAACAAAAAACAAAAAGGGAGAATCCTAATGGGTCAATGGGCTTGGACCAAACACCGGACAAAAGCCCAAGTAAATTGGACCCATAAGCGGGTTCTTCTGGATTTTATAACAACGAGATTATTCTGAATTTTGCACAAATTCAATAAATTTTCCCTTACCCGCCAAATCCTAACCGATTCTTCCTCCGGAACTGGAAGCAACAATGTCGATCAATCTTGTGCTTCTTTTTCTTCTTCTCTCCTTCGCCACTTCCACCATTATTTCACAGTTGAAAGCTCTTCGATTTATGAAGGTAGAATCACAGCAGAGGATGAGTAAGGAAACAATCACAACAGATACGGAAATCACGTCCAAGCAGGAAACCATATCAAAGCAATCAAAGGCTGATCCAAGGAGCAATAGCTGCAACGGTCAAAATGTATAGCAACGGTAGTATTGCTCAATACTAGGCACTAATTTAGGATCTAAACATTTACAT